TTAGGTTGTCCGGCGCAAATTCTGGTTGTCTCGGACAACCGGACAACGCTTATTTCGAGCACTGTAGGCCATCGTACATAAGCTCGTGCCCAGGTTATCTGAAGGCCTTTAGAGACATTACATTTTCATACATGTATGTGGGAAGCAAGACTCCAGAAGTAAGCTGTTCAAGACCCGTTGTTTCAACTTTATCCAGCAAGTTAGCTAGTTGTTAGTCTATTCATGGGCGAGCCGTAATTATGAATATAAAATCATTATGAAGCCGGCGTGAGGAATTTGGCCGTGCCGCTTACTTACCGTCCCTGCCACGTGTGTATTCGTCCACATTGCAGGCCGCAAGAAGGAATGAGATGCAAGGACTTAACCAGCCGAGACCAAGATCTACACGCAAGGTTTGATCACGTTTTTAAAATGAGCGAGATTTTGGCAATAGGGATACTTTCTGCCCCACAGATTCCCCTGCTGGCATACACTGACACGGTGTGTGTCGGTGCATGTTAAATGCCCCCGTTTGCCCCGTCCAGCTGCCTATTGTTGTGCAAGATGCTCGCACACCTGTATGTGGAACAATCGGTGGTTGGCGGGTGAATATGGCACCAGTGGTTTACCTTGTGTGTCTGCGTGACAATTACCAAATCTATTATTGGATACTAAAGGGGTGCATCTCTACAGAAGAGCATATATGCGTGTAGCTTTACACGTGAGTGCTTATCTCTACCTGGGCCTATGTAAATGTATATATATATATATCAGGAGTAAAAAATCTTAAAGGAGTTTCATACATATTTTCCTGGGTTTTTAGTTTTTTACTGATTTTTCACTTCAAATTTTGGCATAAAATTTAAAAACAAAAATGTATATGTTTGTGAGCTTATTTCGTACCTATATTATTCATTTATCTTGTACTGAAATTGATTTATAGCTATTTACTTTGTATTGGTGTAAAATAATATTCAAAATGTGTTAATTCAGAGGCTTTCGGCATGTTGTCACATCTATCTAGGAGTATTTTGTTGTGGAGCGATACTAGTGACAACTGCTCCATGCCTCTGCATGTAACTTGGCAGGGATTTTAGAGGTCCAATGCCCTAAACACGTAGTAGGTGCATATGTGTAACCAAAAACTACATGCATACAATCAGAAGTAGATAATAGGGAATTCCCTATTATCTACTTCTGATACAATGTATTTGCAGGTGAATACGTATCTTACTAGACTGTAGATGCATTGCTAATGATGCTAATGCTAGTGATTGATGATGTTTCCCGCTCGCGAGATCAAAACATTACAATCCCTGCTGAGTCACATGCGAAGAATTGGAGCAGTTGTCTCTAATATTGCTCAACAAAATACTCCTACATAGATGAGACAATATGCCGAAAAGCCTCCGAATCAACACCGCGTTTGTATACAATTTACAGCAATACGGCAGTAAATAGCTGTAAACCTATTTCAGTCCAAGATAGATGAATAATAAAGGTACGAAGTAAGCTCAAGAACATATAGATTTTTTTATTTTTGCCAAAATGTGAACTGGAAAATTGGTAAAAACGCGGGGAAAATACGTGTCAAACTCCCGTGAGATTATTTGCTCCTGATATATATACATATCTATCAGTGAAAAAAATACACGGGGGCTCGGGGCGATTTAGCCCCCGAAATGGCAAAAAGAGCCCCCAGAAATTTGCATAGAATTCAATGCAAACCAAATTTTAGAGTGCTATTTTCATGCACGCGAGCTTGAAAAGTAGCCCCCGAAAAATAAATTATATTTTTTCCCTGATATCTATATGGTAAACTTGGTCTGTTGCTAGAGTTCTATAAGAGTTCTAGACTCTATAATCACCTATATAGCGCTGCTGTGTAGTGTAACCCTTTACCTACACATCTTTACTTGCTTCATTCCTTCTTGGGGTCAGTACATAATCCAATATAGTATACTAGTAAGGGACAAGATATATCTGTCACTATATATGTTCACTGTATGGACACTTGTACACAGAAATGGAGAACTATAATACTTGTAGACGTACAGTAATTCCCTTGGGTGGTGCGCGTGCACCTTGTTCTCTGTTCACGATATCTACCCCAAACTTCTCATTTAGCTTGCATTATTATGTCATGGAAGTACGAACAAATACCTATTTGTTCGATTTTGGATCGCAGGAGTTTAACCACCTTAAGGGAGGGCTTAGGGATAAGGGAACATATGTTAGACAATCATGATGGAATTCCCTTGAGTGCAGTTCCCAGCGCTAAATAGTGACTTAATCCTCGACTAGTATTTTCGGAACTCGTCTTTAAATTTTTTCCTCGAAATTCTGTTTTACGGAACCCCAACCGTGGAGGTGTCTTCCCATTTCGCCATTTTCCCACTTTGCCATTTGCCATTTCGCCATTAACCATTTCGCCAGTTTCTCGTTTTGCCATTTTCCCACTTCGCCATTTTCCCATTTCGCCAGTTTCCCATTTCGCCATTTCCCCATTTCGCCAGTTTCCCATTTCGCCAATATTTTATGATGCTTTCACCCCCTGCACAAAATTGATCCTTCCATTCTTAAAAAAGAGTTATTTCTAGGTCGTTAGGGTTAGGGTTAGGGTGCCTGTACATGATCCTTATGTTTTGATATGTACGATTTCGCCTTCTTGTTCTTCAAATAAATAGTTGACTCCATATCTAAAGATTCGTTATAATTTATTCATTACAGAGGCTTACTTTTAACCCACCTCGAACAAGGGGGTGGTCGGGGAGATAGGACGAAATGGCGAAATGGGAAACTGGCGAAACGGGAAACTGGCGAAATGGGAAACTGGCGAAGTGGGAAACTGACGAAATGGGAAAATGGCGAAATGGGAAATGGCGAAACAGGAAATGGCGAAATGGCAAATGGCGAAGTGGGAATTTTTAATGGCGAAATGGGAATAAACCATCTATGTCTTTTATAAAAGACATAGATAGGGGTTGTCATTATATTCCCATTGTCTGTTGAGTGTTATTTTGAGGTGCAGTTTTAATTTTACATTATAACGATATTTCATTCCCTCAATGCTAACACTCTCACTTGGTTATTGTAGTATGTGTGTGTGTGATTTTATGCGTAGAACGTTTATTGGCGTGTAGGTTTATTTGCACGATGCTATTCTCTATTGTCTTTTTTGCATGCACTTGTTACGTGTGCTCTTCGTATATGGGGCTCTACCACCCACTTGTTGGCAGAGAATGTGTGTAGTATGTAGGTACACCTAGATAGCTGTGTGTCCTAGAAAAGACGGCGTGAATAAAACGTCAGACAGATGTCCATTGGTTTTAACCTATCACCCTTCAATTCTGCATATTAAAAGTTTGTTAATTGATAATTATAAAATTCTTCAAAACGATCAATCACAGTTAACATCTTTTCACTGGCGATTTTGCCTGGTTTCGGTTCAGTGATGGTAGATTGGTTGTTATCCGCATCATAGTGTAGTAGTCAATTGGCTTTTATCTGTAGCATGCTGTAGTAATCTTCCCTGTGAGGGTCATTACTAGACTAAAAGCCAGTTATGTAACGAGCTGGTTTCTAAATGCCACTGCCGTGCAGTTTTCTCACGTTGCCACTGTGTACAACACGCATTATACGATATCAAATTCTGTTGAACTGCACTGTGCCAGTTATTTCTCACTAATCTAAGCACATGCATGTGGTTGCCACGACTCGTGGACCAGGTAAACACTTTCTGTAGCAAGTTAATAATACTTAGTTAGTAATAGTTAGTTAGTTACTTAGTTTTAAAATATTATTTGAGTGCTAGGGAAAGTTTGTGTACCCATCAGCATGTTGATGTATACCTAATATTTTAGCTGTACAAGTTAGTCGTTGTTCAGTGGGTTACGCTCTCTCTTGGGCTAACTGCGACTAATTGTGTTTGGTGCTGTTAGCTCTGCAGTTCATGGATGCCATGTAGATGATACTGTTGAAGTAATTAATAAACCTGCCTGCAGGGAGAGCCACTGTGAGATTGAGCGGAAACGCCGTGTTAAGATGTCGACGTATATGACCGAGTTGGCAGACATGGTGCCGACATGCAGCGCCCTCGCTAGGAAGCCAGACAAACTAACCATCCTGCGCATGGCCGTTGCACATATTAAGTCACTCAGAGGTAAGTAAGCATGGCGATTTATTGTGCGTGCGTTCGGTTACAAACTCTGATGGTCAGTGCGATCGCATAAGTGTAAATCTGCACAAATGTTTGCAGCTTGTTGCTTGAGCAGACCAGTGTTACTAATGAGTGATGGTATCACACCACAGTGAAGCCATTGCTATACCCAACCCAAATTTTGAAGAGCCACGTATCATTACCTTTGATATACAGAGTTTCTAAATATTTGCGGTAGATGAGAGCAATGCTACTAACGGAAATTCATAACCTCTGATGTTCAGGGCTTCCAGAGATCTTATTGCTGTTCAACATGCTCCCACACAGTCATTCTTACTCCGTTACTAATTGCTAAACCTCTTGCAATTTGCTAAACATACATGTACACTCAACTGAGTAGGACAAATCGAGGAAATTTAAACCTGTATGTGAGGGTCAATGAAGAAAGATTCCGAAAGTGTCCGTTTGTAGACATCGGTGTATTCGATAGAGGTGGTTTCTCCGTATAACTCCCACTCACGGGAAACAGGACAAGTGTCATTTGTAGATCTATGGGTTCTGTACTGGTGTCCACTAACACTGGTTTGAGTGTACGCTCATAATGTAACTGTAAACCGTGCCGTGATTTTATGCGTAGAACGTTTATTGGCGTATAGGTTTATTTGCACGATGCTATTCTCTATTGTCTTTTTTGCATGCACGTACATGTACATGCATGCAAGCAAGCATGTATATCGAAGTGTCATTTGTAGATTATGGGTTCTGTACTGGTGTCCACTAACACTGGTTTGAGTGTACGCTCATAATGTAACTGTAAACCGTGCCTCACACTGCTACGCTTGACTGTTGTTGCACGTCAGCATGAGTTCTGATGACATACGCAAGCCTCTGATATTTTGGCCTTCAAGAGATTAGAGTCTTATAGTTATGACCCATAACTTATGGATGCACATCTTGCCCCCACGCATCATCTGTCTTTAGCCCCCTCCCCCAACGTGTAATTTGCTAAAAATACTTTACAATCAGACTAGCAGCAGACGAATGTTGTCGTAAACATGTGCTTGACTGTCACAGGGGTAGAAATTAACTTTGGAACAAGCACGTCCAACAGACTCCCTACCCTCAAAAAGAGGGAGTACGCAGCAAAATGAGGGAGTCCGCATTCTGAAGTTCAAAACTAAAGATATTAACAAAAAGGGCATTTGCGGTGCACATCTGCGAAATTTTCTTGGGACATTTGCTAAAAAAAAAAACAGTAATTCCGCGAGGCCGTGATCTGGAACGAACTAGTTAGTATAGCAGAATTTTCAGGGAGTCACACGGACTCCTGCATATGTCAAATCAGGGAATCCGACAGTAAATCAGGGAGTATTTGACTCCGGACTTGCATTAATTTCGCACCCTGCTGTCACGCGCGCAGGCACAGGGAATACGAGCTCGGAGGGCACATACAAGCCGTCGTTCCTCACCGACCAGGAGCTGAAGCATCTCATCCTGGAGGCTGCTGACGGATTCCTGTTCGTCGCCGCGTGTGACACGGGGCGGATCATCTACGTGTCCGACTCTATCACTCCCGTGCTGCTGCAGTCTCAGGTATGACAGTCGTCATGTTCTGTAGGTGACACATGGTGATGCTATGTCATGTTCTGTAGGTG